AAAACCGCTAAGCCACCATGAATTGTCCTGGCTGTTGGTTGATATATTGGGAGGTATGTTCTGTATCACCAGTACGACCAGGTATTGTAATGGTAAGCTGGACTCGAGCGGTGAATAGTTGAATAGTTGTTGAAATATTATATTTGTGATGTGGACTCTCCAGAGTCCACTGGTAGTGTGAAAGGCCTTTAGGACGAACAGCGATTTGATAGTAATTTGTAAACACACTTCTTACTTCAAATGATACTTTATTATTCACTATTTTTACAATTAATATTTGTTGATAACCTTTTGGTTATCATATCAGCAAAGACTACATTTTACTGAATACTATGTCTGGCTCCAAGCTTGACTCCAAGCTTCTCTCCAGGTTTGACTCCAAGTTTGACTCCGAGTCTTACTCCAAGTTTGACCGCCTGTCTAACTTTTGTCTAACTCTTATATACTAATTTATTGTTTACAACCTATTTACAAAATCCAACAGTAAGCACTTCCGATGTCCGCGTAACCTACATATAACTAGCAACGCGTTTTGTAATTATTAAACAAAATAATGATTCGAATTGTTATTACAGTTCAGTACATACCTATATTTATTGAAATATATAAGTTTTCGACTTGACTTGACTTAAAATACCTTATACTGCTGATTGAGATTGATTGATCGCAGATGTAGCTGTAAAATCGGATCATCGATCGAACTGTAGTGTCGGTTATTTTTATATTGCGTTATTTAACAAAGCGCAAATTGTCAGCGGCTTGCTTCTTCTTTCCTTCTTTTCCTTCTGCTACTTTCTTACAAATTCTGGATTGGAATTGATAATAGTCTGAAAGTAAGCACTCATTAGAAAGTGTTTTTCACAATTTTTAAGTCAGTACAGTATTTTTTGCATTAATAAATTAAGTGCGCTTCGTAATACAATTGCCAGAACTCCCGGGCGGGAGCCTCGGAAGATGTCGCAAGACATGGACGTCTTGACGAGCACTGTCTTAAAGAATAAGTACCAGGCGTTATCGGACCGCAGCGAAATGGATACGGATCGGGAGATAGATGAGTACACTGCAAACGTATGTCGCGTACAATAACACGAAAAGGGGTGATATTTGTATGTAGTCACTTTTGATCTACTTTTTGGCGTGTTTTTGACTAACACACCGGTCGGGTGTGATACTATGAAACCGCCCCGACGGGTGTGTTATCATGAGAATGCGACGTCGTGGGGTGTTAACCATATGCTTATTTGAAGAATGTTTAATATTAATAATTACAATCTACGCTTTGTAGTACCACAAAGACTATATTTTATTGAAATAAATAGACATTATAAAATAATAAGATTATATGTATTAATATATTCCAATTCAAAATCACAATTTTACAATATTGTAATTGTTACTATTTATGTTACAATAATTTTGATGAATTATTTTTGAAATTAGGTTAGTGATAATATTAATTATATGTAACTAATAATTGAACAAATTTAACATGAAATATAATTAATAACAAAAATCACAGAAAAGAATTATCTAAATGTATTTAAAATAGTTTATCTGCCTTTTTTGTATAGCGTGCACAAATTTCACCAATGTTAAAGTTTTATTATTTGTTACTGTTCCCAATATTTCAAATTCAATGTAATGATAATTAATAGTAGTTTGGCCGAAAACAGGTCTATCGTATGAGAGCACAACAAATCAATGATTTCCTTTTGCTTCTCTGTTTATTATTTTCATTACAGTTTTATTAACACTAATCATTTTTTATTCACTTTTATGAATTTTCCTTTCAAAATTTCTGCTTCTATGCTTTCAGGTCTTGTGCTTCTATTCATATATATATATATATATATATATATATATATATATATATATATATATATATATATATATATAGCATCCAAAATCTATTATCCGATTATCAATTTCCATCTTAATTTTGTCATCCGATACAATGATAGCTCGAGATATAATTTCATGTGTAGTGTAAACCATCACCATCCAAAACAAATGCATTACTCTTTTAATAATTAACTTTTTCATTGTCAAATTTGGAGTTGTTTTCTTCAATGAAATGAGATAAGTTATTTTCGCATTCTTACTTTCTATAGAGAATACATTCGTGAGATTTTCAATCATGTCATATTGTATTTATCAAAAGATTTCCATTTAAACTTTTTGAATTCAAAACCTCTAAAACACCTAAAATGAAATAAAATAAAATATAGTACAACACTAGAAAAACTATTGCCATTTCACTATATTCGAGTGAAGAAAATTTATTTATTATACCAATTATTGGTTGAACCTCATTTTCCATCTAGGGCCTTCGATCACTCAGTAAATTCTGAATAAATTTTCTACTTGTGAGACATTCCTGCCTTTAATGTATTTAATGAATTTCTGGAAATATTTCATTTTAATTTGATTGTTTGATCTATTTTCCTCATATCTGAAAATATAATGATAAATTAATTAGGACACATCGTACAAATTGAGAATTACATTTTCAACCTCAAACTAACCTCAAAACTAAGAACCTTTGCATCTGAAGAGAAATTAAATTTTCAAGTTACAGTTCTCAGAAGCAATTTCAATGGAATCATTTCTTCTAACTGTAATTTATTTTACAATAAAAATATTGAATAATTCAGTTCATGTATAAATTCTAAAACTGATACTTACCATTTTACTTTTTCATTTCAATACAACATTCTATAAATTTCTTCGAAGATTCCACACTCACATATTCATTAAAAACCGAACCAAATTGTTTATTACAAATAAAATATTATTTAATGCGCTCTATTTTAATTGATAATAAAATTCACAAATTCCGCACTTAAGCATCTGTCATCAACAAATCCTCAAAAAGTGGGGTTAGAACTCGGCTGTTGACGCACTGGACGTAACTGTTTACACGCCGTATGGATGTATCTCTACACGCCTGAGGTCGAGCAATACTCTTACACGACAAAAAGGAGCGATAATTTAAACGATCGCCGTATTAAACAACATCCTTTATGCAATACCACTCCCTTATGTGTATGATGTCGCGCTTTTTTATGGTTTTTAATACGTTTTTGTGTTTTGATTCACACAACAACATTTGCAGTGTATCGGGTTGTAAAACGCAAGAAGCGATTACGTCAAAATAATGTAGAAAATGCGATCGGGAACCAGAATGCTAATACTCAGAAGCCAACTACGTCCAGAACGGAGCAGTTAACAGCCAAGATAATCACCGTACCAGAGCCAAGAATACCTCCTATAATCGCGAAAGGCCAGCTTGTTTTGAAAGTAATTAAATATATCAAAGATACCTCGAAAATAAATTTTAGGACACAATATCTGAAACCACAGTTACATAAAATTTTAACCGATTCTATTGAAGAACACGAAAAATTAAAGAACATACTGAGGGATTGCGATTTTCAGTTTTACACTTATTCAATGCAGCAAGATATTCCAAAGAAAATGACGATAGCTGGCCTGAATCCTGACATAACTGAGACGGTGGCTGAAAGCCAAACGCATTAAAGTGAAGCAAGTGGTGCAAAACAAGAAGAAGGAGTTAGACGGTAGCCAACGTAAACTTCCTATATATATTGTCCTTCTAGATAAGGAACAAGAGATAGCCAAACTAAAAGAAATAAATAATATAGAAGGACACATATTTAAATGGGAAAGTTACAGGCCACTCAACAAGACGATACAGTGCCACAAGTGCCTAAACTTTGGCCACACTTTGTACACGTGCGACATGCGTTACAGGTGCATAAAATGCACGAACGTGCACCCACTGGGAGTGTGCACGAAGCAATCAAACACTTGATAACGAGGCAATAAATATCGTATAAAGGGCTGGTTTTAGACGACTAATTAACAGTGCTTTATCGCGGTACAATATACCGAGTCGTCCTTATTTTTCCTAGAATGTTATTCCAGAGATATATCAGAAAGTGGTTGCGAAAAGAAAAAAAATACTTACAAAAGCATATTTTATTTCCGTGACTTCCGACATGTGGACGTGCTTGCATAATCATAATAGTTTTTTTTTTTAAGTTTTACGGCACAGTTCATTGATCAAGAGTTTAATTTTTAGTCTGCTGTATTGAGTATTAAGCATTTTGAGGGAAAACATACAGCGAGTAATATAGCAATGAGTTTATAAGAAATTGCAAATTTTTGGGAAATTTGTCAAAAAATTCATGTTGTTATTCATGATAATGGACGAAACATTGTAAAAGCTGTCAACGATACAGAGTTGACTTCAGCGCGTTGTTTCATTCATACTATTCAATTAATAGTCATTGTCTAAAGGTGCAACAGTTAGATGTGACTTAAATGATAGCTGCAGGTAGAAGAATCGTAACTCATTTTAATCATTCTGGTACTGCACAAGAGAAACTGCATTCTATTCAAAAAGATTTGGATTCTCCTCAACACGAATAAGTTCAAGACGTTAGCACGCGTTGGAACTCTACTTATTATATGCTTGAAAGATTAATGCAACAAAAACGAACAATTTCTGTGCATCTCGCAGACTGTAACATTGCCAATTTAACTGCGGCACAATGGGAGCTTTTGGAGCGCAATTTAAAATTATTGAAACCGTTTGAGGAGATAACAAAACTTGTGAGTTCTTGTGCTTGCATGTGTGGAATTATTCCGTATGTTGCAACCTTAATGCGGTATTACAATAAAATGAGCACACCAAAAGAGATAACATCTAAATTAGGTCAGGCAATACTGGTCATATAGCAAGGGATACAAGAACGATTTGAAGAGATTGCAACGAGTAAAAACCATTTAGTAGCTACTTTTCTCGATCCACGATTCAAAATAAACTTTTTACTAATCAGATGCAAAAAGAAAAACCAAACAGGATGTTTTAATCGATAGCATACAAATGAACTATGAAAAAACAAGCGAAGATAGTGCGAGTTCATCCCCTGTAAGAAAGATGATGAGAACTGAAGAGCAAAGTCATATAAGTTATGGCTTGTTTCGATGAGGTAATAGCAGGAAAAAGTGCAGCCCATAAAAATCCATCAGAGGATAAAAATGAAGGTTCAACGGAAATAGATCTGTATTTGAGTTCTACTAATATACACCGTCACGAAAATCCATATAATTGGTGGCACGCAAGGAAATCGGCATTTCCATATTTGATCAAAATTGCAGCAAAATATTTATCGGCGCCAGGAAGTAGTGTTTATTCAGAACGCCTTCTCTCCGAAGCTGGAATGGTCTACAAGAAAAAAAGAAGTAAATTACTTCCCAAAAACGCAGAAAAACTAGTTTTTCTCCTGCATAATCTTCCCCTTTTTAATTTTAATTATGATTAGTCTTCCTCATATATAAGAAATAATAAACTATTTAAATAATATAACATAAAACTACTTAAATGTTCATACAAAAAATAAATGGAAATACATATATATATTTATAAGACCGAATTGCGAGTATAGTTCCGATTAGTATGCTGAAAAATTAGATGCAGCATGTGTGAAAGGGGCAGGATCAGCGCGCCAACGAGAACACTCGGCAGACCAGAATGCATCGTAGACAACAGCAAATGGAAATTTTGAAAACTTCCACAATGACTGATGAACTATTATATGGCCCAGAAATAGATGACTCTGTTCAAGTAATTCAACAATTCGCATTTCTGTCCGTAAATCCAATGTGAAACTTAAACGCATTTTTCTCAAAACTACGTTTTTTGAACTGGTGACAGCCGTAACTCAAAAACCGCTTAGTAGATTTTAATGAAATTTATATAGCTTTTAGAATACATGATAAACTCGGGCCTGATCGAAGGATTTTTTTGTTTTCATAAATTTAATTTTTTTAACATTAATTAAATTTCGATTTTTTCCCAAAAATCTAGAATTTTTTTCTGATGCCGCCATTTTGTTAATTTTTGCAAAAAAAAGCTTCGATCAAGCCCAGGATTATGTATTTAAAAACTATTTTTTTTATTCGATTGATTTTAGATGAATCTCCAAAGAGTTGTGAGTGTCACCAGGTCCGTTTTTTTTAATCTGGGTCAAAACAAAAACAGCTATAACTTTGGAAATAATTTTTTTTTCTAAAATTTTTGTTAGTTCAAGTCAAAACATTGTATAATAATGCCGCATTACTATTTTTGTAAAAAAATATCGTTTAATAAAAAAAAATACTGAAAATTCTCATTTTTTCGTGCCTCTGAGCAGTAGCGGCGCGAGGCGTCGGCGGTTTAATTTTTTCAAAATTAATTTTTCAATATTATTAAGTTTTTTTTCCGTAATGCTGCACGAGCAAAAAAAGTGATTAGTGCCTTACTGGCACAATCAATATTGCCTGTCAACACCATTGATTATTAAATCTAAACAACAGCACAAAAGATTTGAGCCGAATATTACAAAGACATGAACAAAGCCAAGGACACATGGAATGCATGATTAAATGGATGGAATTATATAAAGGAATAAAAAATGGAAAAACAATAGATAGGAATGATGAAAGATCGATTAAAGATTCGCAAAAGTATTGGTTTAACTTATTTGAAAGAATGATTGATGTAATAAATGTATCATTTAGAATATTGGTAATTTTATAGATTTATTCAAGTTGTTATCGAAATATGATTCGACCCTACGAGAACACATGCATCGTATTAATGAAAAACAACTAACTCAACATTATCTGAGCCATGACATTCAAAATGAACTGATTGCGTTAATGTCTAAGTCAGTAGTTGATGAAATCATAGGAAGAGTTAAAAAAGCAAAACACTTCGCCTTCTTGCTCGATTGTACCAGGGATGTCAGCCGTGTTGAACAAATGTCCATAATTTTAAGATTTTGTAACTCAACATGAGAAATATAAGAACATTTTGTTGGTTTTATTGCCGTCGCAGAAACAACGGGAGAGTACATAACAAGATCAATACTGCAAGAATTAGACAGAAATGGACTAGACATTCAAAACTATCGAGGGCAGGGGTATGATAATGGCGCTAATATGGTCGGTATTAATAAAGATGTCGGAACAAGAATACTCTTTATAAATCCGAGAGCATTCTCTAAGCCGTGCGGATGCCACAGCTGGAACTTACTTTTAATTGATGCCGCTAAATCTTCTGGAACATCAAAAAAGTTCTTAGCTTTTGTTAATAAAATATTTGTATTGTTTGCAAAATCAAGTAAGCGTTGGGACATCGTAAGAATGAAATTAAAATTAACATTAAAACCTCTTTCTGAAACGCGATGGGAAAGCAGAATCGGAGCTGTAAAAGCAATATTTCTGCAATTTGATGATGTTATAGAATGTGTGAATGAGCTGCAAACTATGAGTGATAATTCGGGAACTCTAAGCGACTGTGACGCAGTCTTGAACGAAATAATGAGATTTGAATTTATTGTTGCGATACAAGTATGGTACGAGATGGCAATCAGTTCAAGTCAACTTGAAAGTGGCTATTGATACTTTACGGTCATTTTGCAGCTGGATTCACAAATTTCGCAACACAGGTTTTACTCTCTTTGACAGTAGTGTTACTCAAGCTCGATTATTTGTAGAAAAAAGTAACTTTAAAATAGATTCAAACTTTAAAGAAAGAAGATTAATCAGAAAAAAAACAAATATAAACCCATTCAATCTTTGGAAAATCAGTACAAAGTTAATTTCTTTAATATAATGATCGATGCCATTATAGTCGACACCGAATGTCGATTTAAAGCACTTAATAACTATTACGAGCAATTTGGTTTTATTTATGATATCAATTATTTAAATACTATTTCAGAAGAAGACCTTCTCAAACATTGTAATAACTTGGGCACAATACTTCGAAAAAACGAACATAGTGGCATACGACCATTTGAATTATTCGAAGAACTGCAACTATTGAAAATGAATATACCAGAGTCTGTAAAAAACGCGAAAGAATTACTTCAATACATAATAAAAAATATTTTAGAAGAAATATATCCAAATGTTTATATAGCGATCAGAATTATCAACACAGTTCCAATTAGTACAGCTTCCACAGAGAGAAGTTTCTCTAAGTTAAAATTGATTAAAATGTATTTGAGAAGCACTATGGAGCCAAGAAAGACTATCTGCATTATACGTTTTATCAATTGAAGCTGAAATAGCAGGTAGTATTAGCTATGAGGAAATACTTAAAAGGTTCAGCGAGGCAAAACGCCGAAAAGTTAGATTATGTTAGATTATGTAATATTTGTTTATTTTAATTATTTAGTTGCATTTGTTTATTTTATTATTACTTTAGTTGCAATAAATTTCATTTTATCATACATTAGTTTAACTGTAATTCAATTTTTGTAATTCAGCATTTTCCTAAAAAAAAAAGGGGGGGGGGGCTTGCAAACTAATTTCGCCGACGCCTACGAATGGTCTCGCGCCGCCACTGCCTCTGAGTACCCCTAACCCCTTAATGATATGCTAATTTTATTTTAAGTAAATTCGGCTTGCTCGTATTGGCGGTCATTGTCAAAGAGTGGCAACCGTATCATTATGTAAGACAATATTTACTGATGCGGGATGCTATATATTTTGTTATAAATTATATATTTTTAATATTATCTTAATTCTTTGTGCTTTGTACTTACAAAATTTAACTATTCTCAATGTTTTCCATATTCATTTTATTGTATATTTTATATTTTCTATGTTTTTCTCATTTTTTTGTATACTTAATATTCTCGATGTTTTTTTAATATTTATATTATAACATTTTTCATTCTTTATATACCTAGTATTTGATGTTTTCTATTAACTCTATTTGTAATATTTTCATTATTCCTTGTTGAATCTAAGCTTTTTGTGTATGTAATCTTTAGATAAGAATCATATTCTATATTTTATAACTAATTCTGTTGTAAGGGCTTGCATCTATAGCTCCTGTTTTCTTCCTGAATTTCTATGTACTTATTTCGAATACTTTTAATCCTTTTATGTTCTCTTTATTTTATTTAAGATTATAGTTTTAGTATGTTTTTTTTGAAATTGGTATCTAAATTTGAAAAGAAACTATAATCTTTTTCTAAGAGGGGATAAATTTTGTGCCCGCTGCACACCCCTATATAGTACATCAAATTAGTATGTACACCACTATGATACGAGTCTAGGATACACGAACAGTATCGGGGATACTCGAAGAAACCCGAAAAAGATATTTCTAACACGCGCACGATAAAATCGCTCTCTTGGAAGCAGCATCGACGATACTTGATCAATTTAATAAAATACCATAAAATTCTCTACTCCAATATTCTACTGTAAACTGTAATTAGTATATCAAGACTTAAAGTGTTTTTCTCGTATTAAAACTCTGCTGCAAGGCAAATATTATAAAACAATATATATGTCTCAATGTATATTAAATTTCTACATTACAGTCTGTAGGCAAAAAAATGCTAAGGAGGCTGAAACAAATTCAGCGTTTGAATTAATTCCAGGTTCATCAACAAATGCCACAGGTATTAAGTACAGATTGATATTGAAATTATAATTTGAATGTTTGAATTCTATAAAAATTTGCTTTTTTATATGTAAATGTTTTGTCTTTTTATAAATGTTTCTTTATTAATTTAGACAAAACAAAAATGAGAATTTCGAGAATCTCTAGATCAATTAACAATGGCAATCAAGAAATCATGCTTTGAAATTATAATTATTAAGAAAGAGCAACACGAAATGTTGCTCTATGTGAGAGCACAAAAGCAAAATTATTCATCAACTTCTCATAATCCCATTGCCATTTCTTTTGAACTGCCCATTACAGATGCCTACAGATGTACAAGAAATGGAGATGAAATTAAGAAATGATGATGTTACTTTGGAATTGGTAATAAGTTCGAATATTGTTAGTAGCATGCATTTGCATATATTAAATGTATGAGCATATATATAATTTGTACTAGATCGGCCAATTATCTTTACTTGGTGGGAATAACAAGAAAGGAGCAGGCCTCACTATTATAAAAAAGGTATTTAGCAGGGCTGTGGCTGTGCAATATTCCTCTAGAGGCCAAAAAAACAAGGTGAATTTTTCGGCACTGAAATTGTGCAGTGTTGTTATTCGTATGTCTGCTAAAGTATTTTTCAATATCTTCCTATAAAAATTTCTTTTTGAAATTCATTCGCACAGACTGTCAAAATTAAGTACCCTGAAGTAGTGGATACTGATAACAAGAAAATTGTTTCCATAGTGCTGGCGCAATCACGAGATTGGGATGGAGCCCAAGACCTCAAGAGCGAAATTCAAGCTGCTATTACTGAGATAATGCCCGAAACAATCGAAAATGTACTCAAAAATTGGGTGTATCGAATATGCTACTGCCAAGTCAGCCGTGGTGGTCATTTAACCGAAATTATTTTTCATAAATAAATGTCATTAATATTGAATAAATGTTCAACCATTGAAAAATATTGAGCCGTTTTCATTTTGTAGCAAAATTAAATACCAATTTTTAAATGGGCAACCCTTTATGGTAATTGTTATCCATATTGTGAAATAATTATATTTTTAAGTCCTCTTGGAAGAAAACTGTGGGCTATATATTTAAAATTTAAACGGCTTATCAAATAAAAATAATTAAAAAAAAACAACGATTTATGTGAGTGCATTTATGGACATGTGGGGGTGAGTAACCAGTATGGGAACCATCTCTGAGGAGGAGTGTGTCACCGAAGACCCGCGAGTAGTCGTGGCATGGGGTGAGTGTTGACTATTGGCATCAGAGAGAGCAAACGTGCGGTCTAGCGCACGAAAGTGTTAATAAAAGATTTTCTAATGTGAGCCTAGAGAACGTCATGGGGGGGGGGGCGTGTCGAAAGCTGTCCCCAAACCTAAAGAGTGTGTAATTATAATATGTGGCTAGTTTGTGAAGTGGATCGGGCCGGATGTATGGACAATACCTTCGAGACTATTGATTTACATAAAAAGCAATATATAATGGTAGAAAAAGTTAAACTACGTGCAATGCTTCAAGACGCCGCTACGGGCGGCAGTTAGACCGACATCCGAAGAAAGTGTCGCATTTAATAGTTAGCACTTTTTTCATTGTACAACTTATTTTTACAATAAAAATAACTACGCTTGGTGACGCCACAATGACTATTTATATGCGTCGGTAATAATATATTCGCCATCTCGTTTCGCAATTTGACATGCAATGTGTCAACCGAATTACCATTCCATTCTAATCCACTTCCTATCTCTTTCCTTCAAAAAACTTTAGACAGAGGCTTCCGACATGAGGTCTGTTTGGCTCTAAGTTCGCTTCCAGTTCAGTTCTAGTGCGTTCGGTTCTCATTCGTTTCCAGTTCGAGTTCTATTCAGTTTGGATATAGTGAATTTCCATGTTCCTTGTTCATTTCGATTCCAGTGCGTTATTATAGCATATTATAGTACGCTTTCAGTTGCTTTTCCTTTTTGGTTCCGTTTAAGAAGTTTCTTTTGTTAAGTTTCTTTTAATCAATCTAGTGAGGTTTTTAGTTTTTTATTATAAGAGAAAAAGAACGTTTTTGTTTAGTTTTCCAATACAGTCCATATTCAAGAATACCAGCCATTCCGTGTGGTCTGATTATCTAATCAAGGCCACATCAATGCTCAATGTTGTTGAAATTGTGTAACATAATTTATTGACGTTTCAGAGGATTATGCCCAAGGATTACGTCGTTTAAAAAGATCATTTAAAACAAATGATATACAGACCACTGAAAATGAATCAAACACTGATAAAGATAGTGAGCCTGTTTTATTAAATTCTAAAAATGTCTCTTGCTTATTATCGCAAAAACGGGTTTGAACAACAACAATAATAGAGACTATAATGCAAACGATGATTTAAATAAATCAGAACTCTCTGAAGGTGAAGAAATTACCCCCGCGGAGAATTTAGATATTGAAATTAGTGCAAAAGCTGCATTTGATAGTACAACGGCACAACCCAAAGGTTGTTATTTTTTACAGTATTACATATTCTTACTTTTTACAGTAGATATCATATGATTCAATGGAATGATTTCAGTAGATATCAATGAAAAAATGATTCAAGCTTCTGAAATTACGTGTACGTAAATTCAAACAGTTCTCGAGAGATTTATGAGCCTTCAGAGAATAGCGACTCGAGTTATATAGACTGTAGATCACAGTCTCCTATAAAAAAGTGAAATTGTAAAATTCACAAATTATTTAATTGATGACAATTTGAAGGCCTATACTGGAGTCCCTCAAAAATTTAATGTAATGTTAGAACGTCTCGGTGTTATTTCTAATACCAATATGACTAATATAAAATTATCTTTAATGAAAATTCGACGCCAAGACAGTTTTGAAACATTAAGTGAACAGTTCGGAAGGAGTGTAAGCAACGCTAGCATTATTTTTAATATAACAATTCTGGTATTGACACATATTTTGAAAAAGCTTGTTTACATGCCTGAGCTTGATAATATAAAAAGAATACTACCGATAGCATTTAGATCTTCTTATAGTCATGTGGTAGCTATTTTTGATGCATTTGAGATTCAAATCGAGAAACCTAGTGATTCAGAGCATCAATCATTAACTTGGTCAGAGTACAAAAAGTGTAATACTTTAAAATATTTAATATCTTGCACAGCGGATGGCTTTATCAATTTCATCTCAAAAGGATTTGGAGGTCAAATTTCAGATGAATTTTTATTTCAGGAAAGCGAAATAGTAGAAGAGTTACCCGAAGGTTGTGCTGTAATGGCTGATCGAGGATTCAAGAATATTGTTCAGCTTCTTCAAGATAAAAATATTGAATTAATTCGACCACCTTCAGTGAGTGCTGGAGTTAAATTATCACAATCCGATGTTTTACAAGGCAAACGAATCGCTGCTAGACGTATTCATATAGCACGCGTGATTGGACGAATGAGAGAGTTTGATTTTCTCAAACCTCATACGGTTGTTAATCATAATATGTTACCTTTAACAGACTATATTGTTATCATCGCAGCAGCACTAGTCAATTTACAAACACCTATAATTTCAAGTTAAATTTAAGAACATTTTCATGACAAAAGAAATGGCTAAATGGCTACCATAAATATATCAATATTAGGAACATTATCAGAATTTGCTTTTATAAATCCTGTATCACACATAGTTGAACTAAATTAACTTCAACAAATCGTTTTTAAAGGAAAATTTACCACGTGTTTATCAAGTTCCGTAAAATATAGCCGTAAGCACTGCGCCAATAGAGTAACGGCACTGCGCTGTTATGAGGTTGCAATTACAATCTGACGTCACAGGCACGGTAGCCAATCGTGGCACGTTAACGGTCACATGACTAATTTTTGAATTTAATCAATTTTTAAACGCTCATAACTAATTGAAAAAAAACTTTTTTCTCTTTTTTCTTTCACATATCAATAAATTTAATAATGTAGTTTTAAAGCGCATAAAAATAAATGTATAATTTTTTTTTCAAATTCCCAATTGTGAGAAATAACATAATCCCGATTATTTATTGTACAATTTTTAGATATCCAGAACTATGACCAATTGGCGCTATTTTTACAAAACACAATTCGTCTCGAAATGACAAATTTTAAAAAAAGCTTGAATTATACCTTGCTGTATATAATTTAATAGCAGCTATCACCACCGCAACGGCAGTAATATGAAATATGAGCTATGCGTATTTTGTTAATAAATATGGAGCAACTCAAGAACACCATTCTTGTTTTGCACATACTATTAATTTAATTGCAGATAAGGCACTTGCTGATCCTGATGTTATAAATTTTGTTAAAAAAGTAAGAAACTTAGTCAAATGTTTTAGAACAAGTGTTGTAGCTTCAGATAAGCTGAAAAAGGCTTAATGTGAAAGTTCGCATGAGCCTTTAAAGTTCATATTAGATGTAAAAACAAGGTAGAATTCGTGTTACTAGATGCTAGAAAGATTTTTAAAATTAGCTTCATATGTCGCACAAATTGCAATCAGTGATGCAAATGCTCCCGGTATTGTATTAGCGACTGAAGTTGAATTAATTAGAGAATTATCTAATCTACTGTAGCCGCTGGAGTACATAAATAAAGAACTATCCAGTCAATACTATATTACGGTGTCGAACGTTATATCGTCCAAAAACGACCAAAATTTTGGGTAAAATTCGACTTTGTTTTAAAAAACGCCGTCATTTTGTCAATTTTTTTCTTTATCGTAGATCATTTTACAGACAATATTATCTAGTTTAACATAATTTTTTTTTTAAATTTCATCCACGTAGGAGGCCGGAATCACTGCAGCAGTGAAGGGCCTTTTTTTTTGTCGCGCCGTTGGAGATCGACGATAACTTAAAAAATATATAATTTTTTTCTTCAAATATTTTACTATATATTCTTAAAACATGTATAAATATATTCCTAAAATTTTGAATTGATTGATGAAGTAGTTTTTTTAATATAAATTCCCAAAAATCACCTTTTTAGGCGGTTATACTAGTTGTGCCCCTTAATATATTATTACTCATTCTTACTTACTTTTAGAAAATCTTTTAATAATAATACATTAGTACCTGCTCTTTAAACAGAGCCTCGATGGCTTAAGTTACATTTAAAGATTGCACCTTGGAGAAAAATCTCTTACTTCTGTGCTCTATTTATTGGAAAATAATCCTTCACACACGTTTTGAAAAAGTTTGGTAGAGATTTATCAAAGACTGGGAAAGCCAGTTCTAGTACCGCCATTAAGAATTTTTTGGTTAAATAGAAAGGAGAGCAAGAATTCATAAATATAAACTTTTTGATTATGGCTGAGGCCAACAAGAACAGTGATTTGTACAACAACAAGCCTATCTTTCATTTTCTCGCAACATTTTATCGTTAGCTAATAATAATAATATTTTTATATCAACATAAATGAGAAAGCACATCTACTTTCCAAAATTCATTTGCAGTGGTACTTTATTTGTTCCAGTAGAAGGTTTGTTACGCGTTTTTCCATAGCAATAGAATGAATTTGTTTTGTAGTTTGTTTTATACATGTAAGATTTTCCAAATAAAATCTAGAATGAGTAATATATTAAAATCGAATACAACATTTTATTTGCAGAAATAGAAAATTATAGTTTTTGTTTAAATGTTACACCTTAATAACTAACATGCAACTAAATTATTGTTTTATCATTATTTTATCTTATTCTGTAAATAAAAAATATTGTTACATTCTGTATTGTAAGTTATTTTATGTTAGGCGTATTATCAATTTTACTATATATTGTAATTTTGTATATATATGGTGGTTAAATTCTAGTGTTTGGAATTTGAACTACCGATTATTTGACTTTAGTTGAAAGTGTGAAAATATTAGAAACTATGAAATATATGAAGAAGTGGCCCTCGTAACCGTCAATGGCGATCGCTTCCGCGCAATGTTGAACAGTTGGTTCTTTGAAAAAATTGCAGCTGAAGACTTGAACGATATTTGCTTCCAACAGGACGGTGCAACGAGTCATGCAGCACACGCCACAATCGATGTTTTACGCCGCATTTTCGGAAATCGAATAATCAGCAAAAATGCTGATGTGAATTGGCCACCAAGAAGCTGCGATTTGACGCCATTGGATTATTATCTTGGGGAGCGGTGAAAGATATATGTTACGCCTACAATCCAGAAACAATTCAAGACCTCAAGACCGAAATTCAAGCTGCTATTGCTGAGATAATGCCCGAAACAATCGAAAATGTACTCAAAAATTGGGTGGATCGAATGGGCTACTGCCAAGTCAGCCGTGGTGGTCATTTGACCGAAATTATTTTTCATAAATAAATGTCATGAATCAACATATTAAATAAATGTTCAACCATTGAAAAATATTGAGCCGTTTTCATTTTGTAGCAAAATTAAATTCCAATTTTTAAATGGGCCACCCTTTATGTTCATTGTTATCCATATTGTAAAATGATTGTATTTTTAAGGCCTCTTGGAAGAAATGTGTGGGCTATATATTTAAAATTTAAACGGCAAATCAAATAAAAATAATTTGAAATAAAACAATTTGTGGGAGTGCATTTATGTACATACTGTTACGAATGTCGGGGAGAGTAACCAATATGAGAACCATCTCTGAGGAGGAGTGTGTCCGAAGACCCGCGAGTAGTCGTGGCATGGAGTGAGTGTTGACTATTGGCATCAGAGAGAGCAAACGTGCGGTCTAGCGCACGAAAGTGTTAATAAAAGATGTTTTTAATGTGAGCCTAGAGAATGTCATGGCGGGGGGGGCGCGCGTGTCGGAAGATGTCCCCAAACCTAAAGAATGCGTAATTAGAATATGTGGCTAGTTTGTGAAGTGGATCGGGCCCGATGTATGGACAATACCTTCGAGACTATTGATTTACATAAAAAGCAATATATAATGGTAGAAAAAGTTGAACTACGTGGTATCACTCTTACTTGTAAACATACAGATAATATAATTCAATTGAAAGATGATAAAATATTTGTAATTAATAATATATTAAATATACAAGACAAATACATAACTGGAGAAATAATTGGTATAGTGGAAAGTAAAAGTAGAGAAGTATTCGATTATCCAATATCATCAATGTAGGTTTAACAGAATTTACTTCTTGGAAAAAATAAAATATTGTTAAATCTCACTCATGTGAAATGTAAATGTATATTATTGAACATTAATAATTCACTGTTTGCAATAGCTTCATTAAATTTATTTAAACATGTATTAAAAAGTAGATAATAAAATAATTTTGACGCAATAAATACTTCGAAATTCAATATTATTTAAAATTGTATGTTTTTATTTAAATTATTTATTATTTATCCAATCAATTTAATGTTCAATAATATATGAATTTCTAATCTCAAAAAAAAATGCAATGGTGTATTAAATATGTACCAGTGGCAAAATAATTTTAAGAATCGAAGACTCGTGCTCACGGTTTGTGCAATGCTTTGAGACGCCGCTACGGGCGGCAGTTAGACCGGCATCCGAAGAAAGTGTGATATTGCTCCCTTGCGCGCAGTCAATTATCGGAGTTTTAGAGCTTAAGTGATTATTTTTTATTATTAGTTTATTGGGTTATTGTACTATAAATTTTGAAAATGACGGAAGATATTAAAATGTATGCAGTGGTGGAATTTAATGAAACTAAAAACAATAAAAAACGGTTGTTAATACCGATTAGTTGGCTTAATAAGGATAGATCCAAGTGTTTATGGCTGCCCAAAAAAGATCAGAACAAGGTGTTGAAGTGGGCGAAACTTGATGTAGTACCTGACGAGGAGACATGGATAAAATATCCAATCAAAATTATTATCAAAGCTAGTGAGTATTTATGTGCATCAAATAATATAATTATCTCTCTCGAGGTATTATACAGTATTATCTCTCAAATGATATACAGACCACTGAAAATGAATCAAACATTGATAAAGATAGTGAGCCTGTTTTATTAAATTCTAAAAATGTCTCTTGCTTATTATCGCAAAAACGGCCTTTGAACAACAACAATAATAGAGACTATAATGCAAACGATGATTTAAATAACTCAGAACTCTCTGAAAGTGAAGAAATTACACCCGCGGAGAATTTAGATATTGAAATTAGTGCAAAAGCTGCATTTGATAGTACAACGGCACAACCCAAAGGTTGTTATTTTTTACAGTATTACATATTCTTATTTTTTACAGCAGATATCATATGATTTAATGGAATGATTTCAGTAGATATCAATGGAAAAATGATTCAAGCTTCTGAAATTACGTGTACGTAAATTCAAACAGTTCTCGAGAGATTTATGAGCCTTCAGAGAATAGCGACTAGAGTTATATAGACTGTAGCTCACAGTCTCCTGTAAAAAAAGGTGAAATTGTAAAAGTCACAAATTATTTAATTGATGACAATTTGAAGGCCTATACTGAAGTCCTCCAAAAATTTAACGTAAGGGGGCGTCCATTAATCACGTGAGGTTTTTAGGGGAAGGGGGTTTGACAAAAAATCACGAAATATCACGTGGGGGAGGGGGGTATGGTAAGATATCACGTGTATTTATTTTTTAACTGATTATTTTAAAAAAATTCAAACATTTTCAAAAAGAGAATCAAAAATTTTTGTTTTTTCACGTAACTAAAAATACATGTGATGTTTGGTGGGGAAGGGGGGGGGGTAATTTTGAATATCACCACGTATCACCAAGGGGGAGGGGGGGGTCCAAAAATCCTTAAAAACTAGCTCACGTGATTAATAGACGCCCCCTAATGTTGGAACGTCTCAGTGTTATTTCTAATACCAATATGACTAATATAAAATTATTTTTAATGAAAATTCGACGCCAAGACAGTTTTGAAAGATTAAGTGAACAGTTCGGAATGAGTGTAAGCAACGCTAGCATTATTTTTAATAAAGCAAAACGTATTGACACTTTTTTTAAAAAAGCTTGTTTACATGCCTGAGCTTGATAATATAAAAAGAATACTACCGATAGCATTTAGATCTTCGTATAGTCATGTGGTAGCTACAGGCGGTCCTCGACTTACGTCGTTTCGATTTACGTCGTTTCAAGTTACGTCAAACAATGTTTTGACACTATTCCTCAAGCATACGTCATTTGTTTCGATTTCCGGCATATCGGAGAATTCACTTGTCGCAAGGTCAATGTCCGTGAGGGGCGCGGGCGGGGCGCGGTGTCGTCTCGTGCGGGGAATATACCCCGCAAATGTCGCTGATTTTGTTTAGTACATTCAGGGACAACGGACAATCAAGACGTAATAAATTAGTTTTTTTGCATCTTTGACAGTTTTTGTGTTTACATACATATTTAAGTGAATTTTAAACAATGCCACCTAAACAAGACAGTAATAATAAAGTGAAGAAGAGAGTAAGAAAGTCAATTACAATGGAGGTTAAATCTAAGATTTTAAAACTCAAAGATCGCGGTTATTCGACTTCATCTATTGGACGAGAACTTAATTTATCACGCACTACGATACAAACAATATTGAAAGATAAAGAAAAACTCTTAACAGCTCTTCCTTCCGCCTCTTCAAACAGCACTATTATACGCAAAAGGAATGCTTTAATTTATGAAATGGAAAAACTGTTGTACAATTGGATTCAAGATCAAACCCAGCGACGGGTTCCTCTAAGTTTGGCTATTATACAAAATAAGGCGCTGAGTATCATCAACACACTGCAAAATAAACGTGGCGAGAATAATAGTGACGAAACAAAATGTTTTTCTGCCAGTCGCAGATGGTTCATGCGCTTTAAAACGAGATATTCGTTACATAACATTCGAGAAGCTGCTAGTGCCGATCATGTGGCTGCTCAGAGTTTTCCTGGAATATTAAAGGAAATTATCGAAAGTGGAGACTATTCGCCTAAACAAATTTTTAACGTGGACGAAACTGGTTTGTTTTGGAAAAAAATGCCCTCTCGTACTTTTGTATCACAGGAAGAAAAGTCTATGCCTGGATTTAAAGCGGCTAAAGATCGTTTGACGTTGTTATTGGGTTCGAATGTTGAAGGTGATCTTAAATTGAAACCCCTTTTAGTTTATAGGTCTGAAAATCCTCGAGCTCTCAAAAATTACGTCAAGAGTACTCTTCCAGTTATATGGAAGGCTAATCCAAAGGCATGGGTTACATCAATACTTTTTGAAGAATGGTTTACTAAGCATTTTATACCTGAAGTGAAACAGTACTGTTCAAACAATAATTTGGCTTATAAAGCTTTACTTATTTTGGACAATGCTCCCGGCCATCCTGTGCGTATTGCCGATATTGATCCTCAAATCAAAGTCGTGTTCCTGCCTCCCAACACCACTTCGTTGTTACAGCCGATGGATCAAGGAGTTATCGCGTCTTTTAAGGCCTATTATCTCAGGAGAACTTTTTCACAGGCTGTAAAGGCTAATGAAAATGATGGCATGGAGCTGAGAGATTTTTGGTTATAAGTTATAATATCCTGCAATGCGTAAAAAATATTGCTACTTCATGGGATGAGGTGACACCTAACAATTTAAAAGGAGTGTGGAAAAAGTTATGCCCATTTTTTTTTGAGCCATCTGAAAGTTCTACATCTACAGATCAACCAAATGTCGATGAGATCACAACTGACATTGTTCATTTGGCTAACCGTTTCCCTGACATTGCAGTTACTACTGATGATATTGATGATCTGTTAAGCTCACATTCGCAAGAACTGACTGATGAAGATCTTATTGAATTGGAGGCACAAGTACAAAAGGAAGCACTCGAGTCACAAGAAATAGCTTCTTCTATTAGTGACTCTGAAAAAGAACTTACACTAAAAAAACTTTCCGTAGCCTTTGCAAATTTGAAGAATGCCATGAAAATTTTTGAAGAAAATGATCCTAATTTTGAAAGAAGTTTTAACGTTAATAACAAAATTTGTGCAGCCTATCACTGTTACCAAGATCTGTATGATAGCAAGAAGAAAGAAGCCAAGCAATCTAGAATTGATAGTTTCTTTAAGCCAAAAGTTTAATTTATTATTTATCATTACATATGTATAAGTTTTATAATTATTATTAAAATTAATAACACACAAATACCAAAAATAACTAGCTATTTCATAAGTGCATAATATATAATTATTTTAAGAACTTACTTTTAATAATAAAGTACCTCCTTTGTTATAAATGCAGTTTTTTTTTATTATTTCGAGTCCGTGTGGAATCTAACCCTTGAGTTTTACATGTAAACATATGAAAAAATATGTCTCGACTTACGTCGTTTCGATTTACGTCGCGTATTTCGAGAACTTAACATGCCGTAAGTACGAGGACTGCCTGTATTATTGATGCATTTGAGATTCAAATCGAGCAACCTAGTGATCCAGAGCATCAATCATTAACTTGGTCAGAGTACAAAAAGTGTAATACGTTAAAATATTTAATATCTTGCACACCGGATGGCTTTATCAATTTCATCTCAAAAGGATTTGGAGGGCGAATTTCAGATGAATTGTTATTTCAGGAAAGCGAAATAGTAGAAGAGTTACCCGAAGGTTGTGCTGTAATGGCTGATCGAGGATTCAAGAATATTGTTCAGCTTCTTGACAATAAAAATCTTGAATTAATTCGACCACCTTCAGTGTTTTACAAGGCAAACGAATCGCTGCTAGACGTATTCATATAGAACGCGTGATTGGACGAATGAGAGAGTTTGATTTTCTCAAACCTCATACGGTTGTTAATCATAATATGTTACCTTTAACAGACTATATTGTTATCATCGCAGCAGCACTAGTGAATTTACAAACACCTATAATTTCAAGTTAAATTTAAGAACATTTTCATGACAAAAGAAATGGCTAAATGGCTACCATAAATATATCAATATTAGGAACATTATCAGAATTTGCTTTTATAAATCCTGTATCACACATAGTTGAACTAAATTAACTTCAACAAATCGTTTTTAAAGGAAAATTTACCACGTGTTTATCAAGTTCCGTAAAATATAGCCGTAAGCACTGCGCCAATAGATGGACCGATTCTGCGCATAACAGAGAAATGTTACGGCATGGCATGTTACGCTCCGACTCCCCATACATTATGCGAATGAATCATACTGAATGCTGTCAAAATATCATGTATTTGCTGTTCATTCCGGCGTTTTAAGCATAAACTGCAACGTCACTCGTATGTTACCTAAGATGAAACAGAAACACACACTTATCTAACATCGTTTTTTTGACATTTGTGCGGCTTTTAGGTTATGTTTTGTATGAGAAAACCTGAGAAATTCGCCTGACTGAACACCAACCGCATAACTTTTGTCTATATTACTATGGAAAATTCTTCATAACATGACCTTATCATAACATTGCGGCAGAATCGGTCCCAGAGTAACGGCACTGCGCTGTTATGAGGTTGCGATTACAATCTGACGTCACAGGCACGGTAGCCAATCGTGGCACGTTAACGGTCACATGACTAATTTTTGAATTTAATCAATTTTTAAACGCTCATAACTAATTGAAAAAACTTTTTTTTTTCTTTTTTCTTTCACATATCAATAAATTTAATAATGTAGTTGTAAAGCGCATAAAAATAAATGAATAATTTTTTTTTTCAAATTCCCATTTGTGAGAAATAACATAATCACGATTACTTATTGTACAATTTCTAGATATCCAGAACTATGGCCAATTGGCGCTATTTTTACAAAACACAATTCGTCTCGAAATGACAAATTTAAAAAAAAAAATCTTGAGTTATACCTTGCTGTACATAATTTAACAGCAGCTATCATCACCGCAACAGCAGTAATATGAAATATGTGCTATGCGTATTTTTTTGATAAATATGGAGCAACTGAAAAACACCATTCTTGTTTTGCACATACTATTAATTTAATTGCAGATAAGGCACTTGCTGATCCTGATGTTATAAATTTTGTTAAAAAAGTAAGAAACTTTGTCAAATGTTTTAGAACAAGTGTTGTAGCTTCAGATAAGCTGAAAAAGGCTTAATGTGAAAGTTCGCATGCGCTTTAAAGTTCATATTAGATGTAAAAATAAGGCAGAATTCGTGTTACTACATGCTAGAAAGATTTTTAAAATTAGCTTCATATGTCGCACAAATTACAATCACTGATGCAAATGCTCCCGGTATTGTATTAGCGGCTGAAGTTGAATTAATTAGAGAATAATCTAATCTACTGCAGCCGCTGGAGGACATAAATAAATAATTATGCACTTCAATACTATGTTACGGTGTCGAACGTTATATCTTTAGTTTATTTATACCAAAATCGCGCCTTTGTGTCAAATTAAAACAAGCTTTAATTGACACTGCAAGCAGACGGTTTTCGAATCTAGAAAAAAAATTAGCAATGGCAATAGCCACACTACTAGATTCACGGTTTCAAAACTTGCATTTTAAGAACACCAATGCTGCCTTAAATGCAATAAATGCATTGAAAAATCAAATTTGTTTGAACGTAGAACTGTTCAAATTTAGATATTGATGTCACGCAATAGCAATGACATTGGGGCTATAGCGATGGCTAGAGCCACATTACTAGATCCACGCTTTCAAAACTTGCATTTTAAGTACACCAATGCTGACTTAAATGCAATAAATGCATTGAAAAATCAAATATGTTTAAACAATTCTACTACGAGATGAAAAATCTCGTAAACGAGTAAAACAATCACGGGGCGCTACTATGCTGAGTTATTGGGCCGATTCGATGTGGAATTGAAGAAAAAGCGGCCCCGTTTGGCGAAAAAAAAGTGCTGTTCCACCACGACAACGCACCGGCTCACACCTCCGCCGTCGCCATGGCCAAATTGGTCGAATTGCACTACGAATTGCTGCCCCATCCACCTTACTCTCCAGATTTGGCCCCCTGCGATTATTTTTTGTTTCCAATTCTGAAAAAATCACTCGCCGGGAAAAAATTTAGGTCAAATGATGAGGTCATCGCCGCGACGGAAGCCTATTTTGCAGCCCTCGAAAAAACATATTTTTTGGACGGGTTAAAAAAGTTGGAGCATCGCTGGGCCAAGTGTATCGAGCTTGAAGGAGATTATGTTGAAAAATAAATCGCCGCTTTTCAAAAATCTTCGTTTTTCTTTTGTAGGCTAAGTACTTGTTGAATGACCCTCGTACAAGTTTGGATATTGATATCACGCCAGACAGTTTTGACTTTTGGCAGTTATATAAAAAAAATAGCGCCAGACAAAAAAAGAGTGATGAAATAGATTTATACTTAAACTAGTACAGACGTTGTTCTGTACCCATGCCTAAAAACCCCAATTTTTTAAATAACCTATACTGATATTTATCTTTTAGTTAAAAATAATCATTGTTTTTACACTACAATCTATACCGAAATGTATGTACAATAGTGTGAGTGAGTACAAAAATGGCCAGTCTCAATTTCTACACTTAAATTTCAATTATACAGTTAAAACCAATTCAGCTACATCACAACATATAACATATATCAAACAGACAAATATCGAAATATGTTCATTAACATTGTAGGTGTACCTTGCTCTCCGTCGTTTCGAACTATTCAGATTGGGGAAACTTAATCCGCTAAGGACTAAGCCAAACCCGCTAAAAATTGTATTCAAAGACAATAACGTGCTTAGAAAAATTTTGCTTAACTGCAGAAAAAAGACAAGGCCAATTTCAATAATCTCAATATCACAGGGACTAAAGATAAAGCGCGAAAAAGGTGGTGAAAAAAATCTTAAAATTAAATATGTCAAGGACGTACCACAGATCATAGATTTAAACTAACTTTGCGTACAGATAGTAATGTCATTACATGTTATTATCAGAATGGTCGTGGACTCTACACTAAAACCTCTGATTGCCTGTTCCCAGGAATGAATTTATTTATAATGGAAATGCTCAATTCATATTTTGCTTGGTTTTTACAAGATTCTATAAATATCTAGAGGAGAAATGTCTTCCTGATAAACATAGATTACGTAAGAGTAATAATAAAATTTAGATTTTAAAAAACATTATTTTAGAACTTGGTATGTCAATTCGCAGAAGTAATGTGAAGGCAGGAGCATACCGATTGTCTAAGAATAGTAATCACATTTCAGGTAGATAAATACAAGTTGTTTAATAATTAATTCATTATTAATTTTAAATGATGTAATTGTGTATTTAAATCAGGTACTCTATCTATTTTCTAATAATTTATATATCTTTTATGCTTGTTTTTTAGCTTCTTCAAGCATTATGGAAGTTAATAAATTAGAGGTGTCTCCTTTATGCCAATTACAGAATGGTTCTCATATCACTGGAGAATGTTCTAATCGAGAATCACAACAATCTGCAACTCCAAAGACAAGGCCAAGTAATTATAACTTTATATACTTTAATAATTATTACTTTTTGCAGAAAATTACTGATAAGTAAATCTTATCTTTGATGACATAAGGAACTTTGTGGCA